CAGTGCTTTGTGTAAGACAATCTGGGTAACAGCTATTCAACACGAGGAGAAAAAGGAGAAAAAGGCAAGAAAAGGGAGAGGTAAGAAATTAAATGCCCAAATACACAAATTCTAACAAACAGCAGTTAGCAGAGGCAGTAACAAAGACCAGAAATCTTAGAGACAGTGATTGGCGAGGCTGGTACAGGAACCATGAAGAGGTTCAGCCAGAAACCTTTAAACTGCAAATGCGTGATGATCATGGTTTAGTCTTATCAGAGTGAATCCTATAGAAAAGACCAAGTTTATGTTTCTTTCTTTCTTTCTTTCTTTCTTTCTTTAAATTCAGAAGGATTATGGGGCTGTGCAAAAATTGTTCTGGAATTTTAAGGGAGCAAAACCAGTTCTGTACTCCATAGTCTCTTTATAATTGTTTAAAATGTCTTCTCATTGTACAACTGCAGAGTGGCCACTTATGAAGTAATATAAATAATAATATTTATAATTATAACTGCTAACAAACATTTTGACTAAGTTGAGGGATGCTATGGCCTTATGAATTTTTTGGCATTTATTACTGTCATTATAAGCATTTAATTACATTGATTATTGTCTCTTTTGACATAATGAGAAAAAATGATTTTCCTCAACATCACTAAACAAACAACAACAACAAAAACCCACAAAAACATAAAAGCAAAGTCTCACTGAATCAAATCACAAACCTCTTTAACCCTGTGTCTGAAATTGATAATTTGGTAATACAGTCAGAAAGGGAGTAGAAGTAAGGAGTGCATGAAAAGAGAACGCTTCTTATGCTGACATTCAGTGATGTGTGATCTTCCTGAGCTTTTATCTAGACCAAATCATTTAGTGTGTATATTCTTCTGGTCTTCAAAATAATGTCATATAAATTTCTACACTTTAGTGTTATGTTTTGTAAAAACTAATTTAAAGACATTAAAAGCCTTCTGTAGTTCTTAACATCATTGTCGCCCTCCTCTATACCAATTTCTGTTCAATTGTATCATTTTTTTAAGAAGGGATGACCAAAAGTGAGGTATAATCCAAACCGTGGGCACATCTGTATTCAAGATAAGTATCTCAATCTGAATTCAAGATGCACTGGCTTCATTCAGTTTCCTTCTTTTTACTACTTTCCTAATACTATTGAGCAAGGCTTGTGGGGATAATGACTGTCTTTTGAGACCAACTTATATAACCAGTCAAGCAAGTCATATCACCTCATGAATATCCTTAGACCATCTTAGCTGCAAGATAATACTATTAATAGTTTCCAAAAGTATCTTTGGCTTTAGAGCATTCCTAAGCACTGAGCTCCAGAATCTACTACCTGAGCTGTAATGGGTAAATTAGAACCTGTTGTTTTATATGTATAGTTAGTATTGCTTTGTGATGTTCGCTATGTTTCATTAACATTAGTTTTCATCTATTGTTTTATAGACAAATTACTTAATATTGTGATATCCTTTTCTGTCTATGTGAGCTATTTGTCAGTCACTATAGCAGCTATATGGACAATCAACACACTGGATCTGGCTTAGGAGGATAGGAAGTGCTTCCTCCTGCTTCTTACCTCCCTGCACTGCAGAGCAGCTCCTGCCAGCAAGAGGATTGGCAAATGTGTCCTTGCCATTCCTACCGCCCCATACAGGTCCTGTACACAGCTGTCTCCTTTTCTTTTCTAACTTTACTCTGGCATACCTTCCATTTTAAAGCTAATCAGCTTTAAAATTGTAGGAATGCTCTTGCATAAAGAAGGCCTGCCACAAGGCTCCAAAATCCAGTAATGATTAACAATTCCACTTAGTATCCTAGAGCACACTTTTTTCCTAACACAGAGCATAAACTTTCTAAGACAAGTCTTGTCTCCTTTTTTGCTTTTCTACACTATGGGGCAACTGTGCTGATGAATACATACTCCAGCAAATACATACAAGACCAATTACAACCAAGGGGGAAAAAAAAAAAAAGGAATTATGAGAATTATGAGATGAAGAAAGCTTGCAGCAAAGTCAAGAAGATATGGCAGGGGGAAGAGAAATGAGGAAACATATTCCTATTTAATACATATATTAGCTGGCATATTTTTCCTAATAAAATACAGTTCATAAGACTTGTGGGTGGTGTTTTTTTTTTTTTTTTTTTTTTTTTTTTTTTTTTTTTAGAGATAGCCCGCTACAGACAGTATTTATTTTCAGCTAAATAACGAAAATTACGGTTGGAATTGATCTCTGGTATCATCCCATGCAACGCAGGATCAAGTAGAACTTGTCACCTAGGACCACGTCCAGGTAGGTTTTGAATATCTCCAAGGATGGAGACTCCATAACCTGGCTGGACAACTTGTTCCAATTGAACCACCTTCACAGTAAGTGAAAGCTTCCTCTTGTATTTAAATGGAATTTCCTGTAGTTCAGTTTGTGTGCTTTGCTTCTTGTCTATTCACAGGACAGCACTGAGAAGTTATTTAGCTCCATCTTCCCTACCATTAGGTATTTATAGTCATTGATAAGATCCTTTCACCACTACCGTCCTGCCACCTCTTCTGAGGCTGGCCAGTCCTACCTTTTTCGGCCTGTCCTTGTCTGTCATGCTCCAGTCCCTCAGCTGTTTCCTCAGCCCTGGGCTAGGCGAGCTGCACTGCTGCCTTGTGCCCTGAGTGCAACGGCCCCGCATGGCTCTCAGCACTGCGGATGCTGGTGCGGAAGGGAGGGGGATGCCTTCCCCCAATGCTTGCGAGGTCTTCCCAATATCGCCCAGGCTGTTGCTGGCATCCCTAATTGCTTTCTCCTTAATTAATGAGCTTATGCCCTGGCCTCAAAATCCAAGGGACAAATCGAAATGGACATTAGCGGCACCTTCCACATTCTGACTCCTGAGCGAGTTCAGCGGGAACAAGAACCGGGGGGTGAAAGGGAGAGCTGAGCGGCGTTTCGGGAGACAACCTGCCGAGGAGAGCGGGTGGAGGCACCCTGTGAGGAAACGCTGGGGAGAGGGGGCAACAGCACCAGGGTACGGGTCGGGCGGCGTGCCCCGTGTGGGGAAGGGG